ATTAAACAATACCAACTTACATTAGCATTAATGAGAAAATGAAAGACTATTCTTTAAATTAAAAATTAATGAATTATAATAATTTTTTAAATAATTAAACAATGTAAGTTGTTTTTTGAATTATTTAAACATTACTAAGTACTAAATAAAGTTATTAATATAAACTAAATAATTATTAGTTAAATAAATTTGTTTTATATAAATATAGGTTAGATTATAACATAATTTGAAAAAAAAAACACAAAAAGAGTAATTATTATAATTATTTATAAATTTGTTTTATTCTTCTCAAGTTAGATTTTTAAGAAATAAAAGATAAGAAAAGAGAATAATAACAAAACAAAAAATATTTAACAACAAATTCTATAACAAATCTTTAAATAAATTACGGATAAATTAATTATAATAATTTATGGTTTTATAATAATTATTTTTAATTTAGAGCAGAGAATAGAAAAAAAAAAGATAAGGAGATAATACAATAATATAAAGAATAAATGAGGAATGAAAAACAGAAAAAAATTTTAACTAAGAAATTGTTTAAAAATTATTTAAATCTCATCATTGATTTGAGGAAATTTTTTACAAAAGAAAAAGTATTTAATCTATAAAATAGTATTTCAAGATAATGAACTTCTTTAAGAAACAGTTTAATGGTAATGAATTTATGATTAGATGTCAATGTGCTCTTCGAAGAATTAGTGCACAACAAAAGAAGTACCAAACCCACTCCAAAACTTTTAAAAAGCAAATAATAGAATTACTTCAAAATAATGAACGGGATAAAGCTTTTGATAAATGTGCATTATTAGTTCAAGAAGATTACAAAAATGAAGCTCTAACAGAACTAATTGATGTTATTGATGAATTAATGAAAAATTCAGAAATTATTGGTACACAAAGGATATGTCCTTTAGAATTAAAATCAGCATGTGGTGCTATTTTATATGCTTCTCCATATTTTCCTGATCATACTGAAATGATGGAATTGAGAAATATGTTAATTGATAAATTTGGTAAAACATTCCCAGAAGAATGTGTTAATAGTAAAGTTATTAGTCCAAAATTATTATCAAGACTTTCTTCTAAACCAGTTGACTCTGATGTTGTTAATTATTATCTTGATAGTATTGCTAAAGAAAATAATCTCACAACAGAAGAAAATAAACTTCCAGAAGAAAATCCTAATGAAATGTTACCAGCTGATGCAAGTAAATGTGAATTATCAAGATTACTAGATGGAAAACAAAATAATAAATATACATTTGGTGTATTAACTAAGAATGTTATAGGTAAAATAAAAAAAGGTGGAGATAAAGTTGAGGCATATATTTCTGGTCCAAACAATACCAAAATTATTGGAGAAGTAACTGATCTTCATGATGGTACTTATGATATTGTATTTGTACCACCATATGCTGGTAATTATCTTATTGCTGTTTATGTGAATGATAAACAAATTGAACAAATAGGTAAATTACATATATTAGAAGCTAACTCATTAGACTTAAATAAATGTATAATTGAAGGTAATGGAATTAAAGGAGGATATGTAAATGAGAAACAAAATTTCACTATTGTTGCTAAAGATTCATATGGTCAAACAATTAATCATGGAGGAGAACCTTTTGCTGCTTATATTGCTGGTCCAAATGATGTTAAAATTATTGGAGATATTACTGATCTAAAAAATGGACAATATGATGTAAGTTATGTTCCTCCTATTAAAGGTAATTATGCTATTGCAGTTTATCACAACACTACTTTGGTTCATTCTGTATTTAATTTTAGTATTCAAGAAAGAAGCACTCAACAACAATTTCCAACAGTTCAACAACATATTCAACCACAAATAACAAAGTCATTTATTCCAGTTCAAGGAAAACCAGGAGAACATTTTATTATAGATATTGGAAGTTGTTCTATTAAATCAGGATTTGAGAGTGTTGGAAATCCATCAATATTAACACCAACTGTTGTTGGAAAAAATTTACATCAAACAAGTGGATTTGTTGAACAAAATTTATATGTTGGAGATGAAGCTATTGACAAAAGAGGTATATTATCATTAGAATATCCAATGCAAAAAGAACCTATTGATTATAATAGTTTAAAACCAATTATGAAACATTCAGTGGAAGTTGCACAAGGACATCCTACTGTTGTTATAACAAATGGATTAACTCCCTTACAAATGAAGATAAATATTTCGGAAATATTATTTAATGAAGGAATTCAATCAATAAGATTTGTTGATGAAGCACAAGCCATTTCTAGACTATATAATAAACAAAGTTGTGTTATCGTAAATATCGGAGGAATGATGTCATGGGTAATTCCAGTAATTAATGGAATTGTTTATACTAATATTTCACAAAAATTACCAATTGCAGGAGTTAAGTGTACTGAAATATTAATGGCTTTACTTTCTAAAGAAGGTATTACTCTTGGAAGTACTTCTAGTGAAAAAGAAATAGCAAGACAAATTAAAGAAGCTACTGGTTACATTCAAGTTAGTCCTAATTCTTTAATACAACCAATTAATTATTCTCTTCCAGATGGAACTTCATTAACAATTGGAAATTCAAGAGTTCAATGTTTTGAACCATTGTTTAATCCACAGTTATGTGCTATGAATTGTAGTGGAATAAGTCAAATGATTGCAACTGTATTAAGAAATATAAATGGATGTACTAATGAAATTATATTAGTTGGAGGTGGAAGTTTAATAAATGGATTAAAAGAGCGTATTGAAAATGATGTTCAACAACTCTTAAACTTCAAAATAAATGTAATTGCTGAAAATAATAGAAAATTTGCTTCTTGGCTTGGAGCAAATCTTCTTGACAAAGAAAATATTGGAAAAATAATAACTCTAGACACATGGAGACAAGAAGGAGCCTTATGTCTTGATGACTAATAAGGATGCAACGATTAATTTTTTTAATAATTTTATTTTAAATATTTTTATTGGAAAATACGTGTTTGAATCATTAAAATAAAAATAGAAAAATTTCTTCATTGATTAAACCCCTCTTTTTCTTCTTTATATTCATTTTAAAGGAAATATCCCGATTTTTTCCATAAGAAGGATAAATAATAGATTCTATTTAATTCAAATAATAAAAAACCTAAAAAAACCGAAAAAATAAAAGAATTTTTATAATTAAACGGTTTATCAAAAATACATGAAGTTCAAAAATTCTCTAAAAATAAAAAATGATAAAAAATAGGAAGATTAAAAAAGGAAAAAAAACGGGAAAATAATGGAAAGAAAAAATTATAAAAAAGAAAAGAAGTAAACACGTTCAAATATTTCAATTCATGAAGAAATCAAAGGAAGACCACCGTTCAGGACTTTACCAGTCTACTCTAACTGAATCAAAACAAGAGTCTCCTTGTGGTTCTTTTACGTCTTTGGGATTTACATTTTCTCCGTACGCTGAACCATATAGACCTTCAAGAAGTGTTAATGCTTCTCCAGTTCTTTCAAGAAGAGACCAACTCTTTCAATCACTTTCAACAACAAGTGCTCCTTCTACACCTGGTCTTTCTCATTCACCACGAAGATCAACATTATCTACCTCTACAACTTGTGAAGGAGGTGGTCCTAACACAAATGGTACTATTAATACTTCATTGTATAAAACAGAACTTTGTCGTTCATTTGTTGAAACAGGAACGTGTAGGTATGGAAATAAATGTCAATTTGCTCATGGAGAGAAAGAGTTAAGACCAGTACAACGACACCCTCGTTATAAAACTGAGATTTGTCAAACATTTCATCAGACAGGGACTTGTAAATATGGAAGTAGATGTAGATTTATTCATGTATTACCAGGAGAACTTTCTCCTGCACCTGACTGTGTAGATATTTCTCAATCTCAAAATTTTTCAGATATTTCTTCAACTGATGAAGACTCAAACAGACTTCCTGTATTTGAACAGCTTTCCCACAATTAATTATTTACTTTATTTATTTTTTTTATTTCTTTACAATTTTCTTTTTTTTTTATAATTCTTTTGTCTTTTCTTTTGAATATAATGTCATTATTTTAATTACTGAAAAATTTAAACTCATCTTGGATTCGCCAGTTTAATTTAGCTTTAAGATGGTTGTTAAAAAAGAGTCCCGAGGAGGAAATGGAATACTTGATATTATTGAAGAAATTACTCCATGTACTGAAGATGATAATCGGAATGTTGATCATCACCACCCTCGTTTACTCCAACAAGATAGTGAGGGAGATGGGATATTAGAAATAGATGATGGTGTAGATTTTGTATTTTCGAAGAATGAAATAGAAATGGATTTTTCCATTTAATTAGTACATTAATTTATGTGATTTTTTAATAATGTTTATTTATTCATGTGATAGTTTTATTCAAGGATCATTCACACAATATAACGTTTAATTATATTAAAAATAATTAAATAGAAAAACAATGTTTTAATGTTCCTTTAAAAAAATAGTCATTTCTATGAGTCACTACTCCTTAATACAGCATTATTTTTAACTTTTGTTAGCGACTAACTAGTTAGTTAAGTTCTTTTATTAGACAATAACGTTTTATTTAATAACATAATTCCCAATGAAACGATCTAATTACCAACTCCTCGAAAGGTTGAACAGTACTAATTACAAAAGCTAAGAGAATGAGTTTAATTTTATTATTAGTTATTTTAATTTAACATTAGGAGTTAATGATGTTAATTTTTTTATGTTAGTTTTGATATTATAGTAATCTTTTTTTCGTGTATTTAGTTTAATGAAGTTTATAAAATATAGACATGATTTAAAAAAGAACCTTGACTTATTTAATCATAGAGAATTTTTTAAACAGTGAATTAATGTGATTAGGTACTTAATTTATTGTCTTTTTTTTTGATAACATCAATGAGGCAATTTATTATTTATTTGATTAAAGAAATTAATGAGTTACTAAAAAAAATAAAAGAAGGAATTGGTGTAGAAAAGTTATTTCTTATCACAAACAGTCTAAGCATCATCAATAAAAGAACCTTCAGTTTCATTACGTAGGGCTTCTTCATCTATAGTTTGCATTGAAGGATCAAATGATTCTCCTGGCTTAGCTAATGAAGGAGGTTTTTTAGTTTGTTTAGCCCAATTCAAATCTCTAAGATCTATTAAGTCCTATGTAGAAATTAGTTTTATGTTATTTATTGTAAAATAAAAACAAACCATTAACATGAATTTTGTTCTATTACAAATACCTTGTGGATGACTCAATGTGTATTCAATAGTTTCAAATACTTCATCCATCATAAATGAAATATCACTTGAAGAATCCCAAACTTCACCAATAATTCTAAGTAAAAGATTTAAATATTCAAATGATTGGTCTGTGCAGTCTTTAAGTAATTCTCTAATAACAGTTATCATAAAGTAAGAAGGTACAAATCCTCTAAGATTTAAATGTCCTATAAATCGAATAATAGCTGAAAAACGAATATGTGATTGAGAAAGAATACGTTGAATAACTTCAGGAGACAATGAATTTGATTTTGAAAGTAAATATGATTCTGATATATTTCTTACATTAAATTCAATATTTAGTAAATTTAATAATGTTTGTGTAAAATTTGAAGAAATAAATATTGATAATGAAACACATAAATCAGCATAAAATGGAATATATTTTAAATCACGTGATGCTTTATTTACAATTGTTTTTGCAAGATATGTAATTACACATGAATTAGAATAATCAATTGTCAATAAATCAGTAACAACCCCTGCAAATGTCATTTCACTTAATTTATTTAAGGTTGAAGTAATAAAATGTTTAATTTTATCATCTGGTTCATAATCCCCTTGTTCTGGTTTTGGATTATCTATTGGAGTTCTACTTGATATTAATTGTAATTCAGCAGTAGGTATTTTCTTAGGTAATGGTTTACTTTGTGAATAACTGAAATAACAACATACTGTTGGTGATGAATCAAGAATAGAATACGTTGATGCCACTCGATGTTCTGTTGCCATAACCAATAATTCTTTAGACCCCATTGCATGTAATTGATTATATTCTGAAATAAAAGATTGGTCTTCATTAAATTCCATTTCCATATCAATAATTTTATCTTCAACTTCTTCTGTACCAAATTCTTCATTTCTAAATAATGAATGAACTTTAATTGGTGCTTTAACTTTTTTATTCATTGGGAAGAATAGTTTAACAACACCTCCATCAATATATGTAAAACTAGGAGTTGATTGGCTTGATCCTAAATCAAGAATATCTAATGTTTCTTCCATATTTTCATATTCAATTTCCATTTTAGTTAATGATAGTTTACGTGCTACAATAGCAGAATATAATCCCCAAATTCCTCTTTCTAAATCACTTAATCTATTTGGCCCAACAAGATCAAAATATCTATTACATGTATTAAGACACCATGCTGAATATAAATTTAATAATTCTCCACAAAAGATATAATGTGTTTTAAATTTTTCACTCATATAAAGTGTTGTTGTTCTTGATTGAGTAGCAAATACTACATCAGTAGTTAACTCAAAGGGAATAAATTGAGTTATTACAACATCAGTAATTGATTCAGTTTCTGAAGGGGTTAATTCTTCAATGAAATTAATAGCACTTTTAAAATCGTCATGTGTTGGATTATTAAAGTATTGATTATTTAATTGAAAAATAGAACAACTTGTTGTAGTTGATTGAACAGTATAAACATTAAGTCCTGATAATGAATTCCTTGTTTCACAAAGAATTAATAATCCTATAAGATACGCTTTACACCACTGTAATTCTTCTTTTTGTAAAGTTAAATCAATAACAATACTTAAATACTTTTCTCTAAATTCACTCAATCCTTTTGTAATATTCATCTGTAAAAAGAGACCATTATTATATTGTGCAATAAAATCACCTGTCATATCTGTATAAATATATGTATTCATATCTTTCTTTTTTAATAACTCAAGATCAGTTTGAGGTGATAATTTAAATCTATGTAATGTTGTTTTATATAATTGATCAGTTTTTACAGACGTAAAAGAAGAAATCATTGGTAACGTAAATTTAATATTTCCAACTTTCTCCTTACTATATATTACCATTTCCATCTCAAAAAAACGAGTATCTTTCATAAGATCTCTTCCTAATGAATAAAAAGTTAATGAATTTGATGGTAATTGTACTAATGGATGATCAATAGTATAAGATAATGTGATACTACTATAAGCATCATACCCAGCAATCGTTCCTGTTAATAAGAAAATTGGAGTCAGATTCTTTGTATTTTTTTTTCTAATTAATTGCATATGTGTTGGTGATAGACTCTTAACATTTTCTAATGATGTTGCATAACAACTAGGATGTACATCACTTTTTTCTAAATAATTAACATTAACGTCTGACATAATTCCATTGAGAGATGGAACTATAATAACAAATGCCAAATCTGATGGTGCAATTTTTTGGTCAGGAGAATACATTGAATGAAGTATCATTTTAACATTTGTTTTAGCTGTTTGTGTGATACAGTTAATCTCAGCCTTAACGTCAATTTTATTTACATACAACGGAAATTCGCAGCACAGAGTCATCTTATAAAAAATGAATTAATAGTCCTTTTCTCTTCTTTTTTTTTTTCTATTGGCTTTTTTTATTTTTTATTAATTTTTTTTTTATTTCTAACTCCATTAGATAAGAGATTCTTCCTACATCCCCTTTATGAAACTTATTTTATATCAAACAGAGAATATACTAATATAACTCTTTAAGAAATTTAGTTTTTTAATAAAAATTTACCAACGAATATTTCTGGAGATTTTTATTTTTGATTATTAATCTATCTTAAAAAAAATGATTTAATTAAAAGGACATGAGTATTAAAAAACAAAAAAAAAACTTTTTTTTCAATTAAACCATTTCTTCATTTAATAATGAGACTACTTCACTATTATTAATTTCTTTAAAGAAGGTATCATTATTTTGCATTTCATCATATGTAGTTTGAAGAGCCATAACCAATTCATCTAAACTCCAACGTTCTTCAACATTCTTTAAACAATTATTAATAATAATTCTTAATTCATCTTTGAGGTTCTCACGGATTTTTGGTTTTTCACCATCTTTGATACGTTCGAATAGATCAAATTTGTTAGTAATTGTTCCATATGGTTTTTCTTTATTAATAATTTCATTTAGTACAATGCCATAACTATAAACATCTGTTTTTTCTGTTAATTCTTGAGATAGTACTTGCTCTGGAGACATATAACATTCTTCTCCTTCAGTTAGTTCTCTTACAAGTAATTTAACTCCATCAACAATACAAAAAGCCTTAGGACAAATATTTCCATGATAATGCCTTTCATTTTTTTCGTCATATTCTTTTAATTTAATAGCACATTGCAATAATACTAATAGTTTTTCTTTGTCAGTTCCTGTAACCATATTCAATGGAGTTTCTACATCCCATATTGTTTGTTGAGGCGGTGATGGTAATACAAATGTATGGCTTCTATGAAGAGAAGTACCCGCCTTCACTGTTTCAATTAATAAAGAAGGTTCACTTTCATGTGTTGAAACATCAATAGAAAGTGATTGTTCAGGTGTTAATGAAAAATTAGAAGGAGTAACAGTTCCATTAGGAAGAACTGTAATGACTACTTGTTGTTGAGAGAGTGAAGTATTAATTAAATTTATTTGTATTGGATTAGAGTAATTATCAGGGACAGCAACAGAAAGTGGGAATGAAGGAGGAAGATGAGGGGAAGGTGTAGTAATATAGTCAATAAAAAGAAAAGCAGCAACAAAACTAGTTAATGAAACAATAGTAGTAACAATAACTCTTAATATATCATTTGCAAAAGATAATTTTCCTTCATTTTCATAACATTTATGATTGAAATAAGACCATCCACTTGGACAATAACCATAAGAATCACAACCATCATAAATATAATTATGTGGAGATAATTTAGAGTTAATAGGAACTAATGCACCCATATAATAATTTTTTCTTGTAAGATAAAATGAATTTCCATTAAATGTATTAGTTGTTGCATTCAGTGTTAATACTTGTTCAAAACGAGGAGTTTTAGTAGTAAGTAAATTATCAAAAATCATAACACAACCACCTTTATTATTATTTAATGTTGGAATACCAATAATAACAAGATTTCCCATTGAATTTATAAAATTAAATGATGAAGATTTATAATGAGTTAAAGATTTAGTATTATAAAATGCAATATCATTTTTAATAAATTCATGTTGATATTGGTCTTTTAAAGAAAATATAGAAATTGAATTTAAGTCAGTAACAGCAACAAATAATGTATCAAAAATAGTCATATGAATAGGATCAGTTAAATATGTTTCACTTTTATCTTTAGTAACTTTTGGAGAACCAATATATGTAAGATTATTACTTTCTATTTTAAATACATTAATAGACCCATCATTATATTTTGTTGCTAATGTTGTTCCTCCACTTATAAGTTGAATTCCACAATTAACTGAATAAACTAAATTTTGAGTAAATTTATTAGTAAATGAGATTATTTTATTATTTGTAGAACATGCAAAAAGTAATTGATGATTAGTAGAAAATGCTGCTGGTGATGTTATTGATATATCTAATTTTTTAGATGAATATTTTAATGTTGAATGAATAACAGAATAAACTGTATTATGAATAATAATATTACTCTGTTCATTCCAAGGAATTAACAATAAATTAGTAAAGGGAGTTTTATGATCAATAATGACTTGACGATTTATTCCATCTTTTTCTAATCTAAAAACAAATTGAGTTTTGTCTAATTGTGTTAGTAGTAAATAAAAAAAAGTTTTATTAAAAACAAAACAAACTACCTCCAATAGATGAAACAATAATCCTTCTAAATTGTTTTTCTGAAATTGCTAGAATTAGTTCTTGATTTGAATCATATGATATATCAGTTAATGTAGCACTACTCAAATAAATAAATAATAATAAAAAAACTAATTTGTTCTTTTCCATAAAAAATAACTTTTTAAGTTCTTTTTATTCAAATAAGAAAATTTCAATTTGTTTTTTTAAATTATGAAAATTATTCTTTATTATCTTTTTCTATGTAAATGTTTTAATTTAAATGTATTTATTATAGAATAATAAATACATTTAAAAAATGAAATAAAAATTAGTTTTAATTCAGTATTAATAATTTAATCATATGCTTTAAAATTGTTTCTATACTTTTACTAGATGATTACTTTTATAACACTTCTATTAAATATCTATTAGTTCTTATCCTAATTAACATTAACTTCTTTTTATAACAATTTTTAACAAAAACAATTTCTTATTTCAAAAAAATATAATATTATATAATCAAAAAAGATATTTTATTAATTAAAAAGTTTTTTTGTAATTAACATTTTTTTCAATAACTAGGATAAAATTATGTTTCGTAATGTAAAAATTTAATTCTTTTTTAAAAGTCATCTGTTAAATTAATTAAAAATAGAATCATTCAATTATAGACATTTATTATAATAATTTAAGAATCATTACAAATAATATTTGACATGCGTACTTTTTATATTAACTAACTCTTCTCACAATTTTTTAAGTAAATCTATTTTTTTTCTTATCAAATAGCTCTTATACTTCTTTTTTGTGTTTTAGAACAATTTTATGAGTTTATTGAGAGAAAATCTTTTTTTTAATAAAAACAATATTTTTTGTTTAATAACTCTTTATTGAAATATTCTATAAAACTTATTACTAGTGAGGTTTAATTTCTTAAGTCAGTTTCATATTTACAATTAAGACATAAACCCAACAATTATTTGAAATCCTTTGAGAAATACTAATAATTCTTTTATTATAATTTTCTTTAATATTTTCGTCCTGTTCACTAACTGAAAACAAATCAATAACTTATAATTTAAACATATTTACATATTAAAAAAAAAGAATAAAAGAACATTAAGAAAGATTCTAAATAATTCATTTAAAATAGATAGAGTTTTTATTGAAATTTAATTCTCATGAGCTAAACAATAGGAAAATAGAATTAAAAAGAAAAACAAGTATTTCCATTGAAAACTAGAAGAAATGACATATTAGTTTTTACTAAAAAAAGTAAATTAATGAAATTAATGAATATTGAAAAGAAAAACAAACCCCCAAAAAGACTCAAACCAGAAAAAGTTAATAAGTAATCAATGAAGTTTTTTTGAATCTAATGGTGATTTAAAAGCAAAAATTCAAACTATTCTATAAAGGTCTATTCATATTTCGAACCCTATAATAGTGAATATAATTAACGATAATGAGAATATAATTTTAATCAATTATTTATTCATCTTTAAAGTATCAAAGGATTTAATTATTTATGAGTAACATTACTATTAACACAATTAATAATTACGGTATAATTTCTATTCATAAAAATGCTTCTTATCAACAAGACAATTTAGATACTAAAACCCAACGCCTTATACCTCAAAAACTTTCTGGTTTCCAAAGCTCAGAGAGTGTGTCTAAATCTGCTACACAACCACAAACACCTTGTAATCCTGCTAATTCTTTTCTTGAACCTTATTCAAAGTCATGCTCTTCTCCTGCTGATAATTTGAAGAAAGTCAAAACCGAATCAACAATTCTTAATCCTTCTGTCATTTCATTTTTATCTAAACACCACAAACAATCTTCTCTATCAACCACAAAACTAAGAAGACAAACAGTTGATGATACTATCATCAAACAGAAAAGTCCAGGTAAAACTAATCCATCTACTACGTTCACCCCATTGTCTCTTAATCTTTTTCAAGGCCCTTTTGAAATTGTTGGATTATCAAAATATGAAACAGTTCTTAAGCAATGGATTCCTTCTATTCAAATGAAATTGATATATGATAGTTCACAACAATTCTTTGATTCAAGAGGTTTTAATGAAAAAGTATGTGGAAGAAAAAATTTATTAATAATTGTTGTAAGTGGTAAATCAATATTTGGTTCATGGCACTCAAAACAAATTCCTAAAGAAAAGAAGGATGGATTTGTATATGTTAAAAATGATGAAAATCATTTTGTATTCACACTTAGAAATATTTACAATATTAATCCTACTAAATTTCTTCCTAGAGAAGTTAACAAATATAGTAAAAGTTTATGTCTTTCTGGAAGTAAAAGTTCAACCTGTATTGTAGGATGTTATTCATGTTATTTTGTAGAAACATTAGATAATGAATCAACAGTTGATTGGTCATTTTCCAGTACATATCGAGATACTAGTGGGAAAGGACATTTAATATTTACCGGGAAACAAGCATTTACTACTGATCGTTTACTTGCATTTTCTGTTTAATGAATAAAAATAATCATCAATTTATGGTTTATAAATATTTGACGTTAAAACACAATTTTTCACAAAAAAGAAATCCAGAAAAAGATTTTGTGGTAAAAGAGAAACTAATCATCTATTTTAAGAAGACTAAATGAAGAATAAAAGGAATTAGTCCTTTCTTTTTGACGTGTATTTTCTCTTCTTTAAAATTAAAAGATAAACTTCTTTTGGATTTCCATTTTATTTCTTCTCTTATGACTTCTGTTAACATCATCAACAACTATGGTATTATAAACTTTACTACTCCAAGTAATGATATCACATTCTCTTCCACTACTGGAACTCCTGTTGTTGAACCACACTATAAAATTATCAACCTCAAAACTAATGAGCATGAAACGTTACAAAAACTTGATTTCAACCAACCTAAGGTTGTTAATAGCAATAGCACTACACCAAAACCTAACATAATAGAGCGTTCTGTTGAAAATTCCTTTTCACCAAGAGATATTACTACTGAACTTACGCATTTATACACTCAAGATTCTTCACATAAACTAAGTTATCCTCAAAACTTTACTAAATCTTGCAAACACCCTTCTCTGAACCTCTCAAAAAGAAAAGAATCTGAACATTCTCCTGAAGAAACTATTAAACACCTTTCGACTAACAGACTTTCTCATTATTCTAAATTAACTCATGGAGGTATTTCTGAAGAATTTTGGAAACTTTTCTTAGATAATGAAGGACTAGGTTTATGTGATGAAATTATGAAGCAATGGACTGGATTTAAAGAAATGAAATTGATATATGATAGTTCACAACAATTCTTTGATTCAAGAGGTTTTAATGAAAAAGTATGTGGAAGAAAAAATTTATTAATAATTGTTGTAAGTGGTAAATCAATATTTGGTTCATGGCACTCAAAACAAATTCCTAAAGAAAAGAAGGATGGATTTGTATATGTTAAAAATGATGAAAATCATTTTGTATTCACACTTAGAAATATTTACAATATTAATCCTACTAAATTTCTTCCTAGAGAAGTTAATCACCACTCAAAAAGTTTATGTATTTCTGGAAGTAAGAATTCAACCTGTATTGTAGGATGTTATTCATGTTATTTTGTAGAAACATTAGATAATGAATCAACAGTTGATTGGTCATTTTCCAGTACATATCGAGATACTAGTGGGAAAGGACATTTAATATTTACCGGGAAACAAGCATTTACTACTGATCGTTTACTTGCATTCTATGGGGAGTAATTGAATTATTATTTCTTTTGTTTCAATAACAAAGTATTTTATAAGATGGGATACTATAAATAGAAAGAACTTTAACTAAAAAATATTAAATAGAAGGGTGATGAATATTGATGAAGTCGAACAAAGAGATGGAATCCGTTTTACTTGGAATACATGGGTAAGTACTAGCCAAGAAGCTCGAAAGAATCTTCATATTCCTATTGGATGTTTATATTCACCATTATTACCAAAACCTTTAATTGCAGATAGAGCTCCTATTAAGTGTAGTCATTGTGGTGCTGTTATTAATCCTTATTGTTCTGTTGATTATAACAGTAATTTATGGACTTGCTGTTTCTGTTTAACAAGAAATCAACTTCAATATCAAAATCTCCCAGAACTTCAAGTTACTACATTTGAGTATAGAGACATACAAGAAAATATTAGATATATTCCTACTTACATATTTGTTATTGATACTACCTGTACTGAACATGAACTTGAAGAGTTAAAAACTAATTTAACTACAATTATTTCACTTCTTCCACCAACAACTAGAATTGGATTAATTACATTTGGCCACTGTGTTACTGTACATAATTTGATGTGTGAAAGTGATTGTCTTATTTCTGTTGCTTTTGCTAACAAAGTTAACTCACCAATTGCTATACAATGTGGGTTATTACTTTCTCCAAATTCTAATCAATATATTATCCCTATAGAAGAATGTGAACTTACTTTTATGTCAATTATTGAATCTCTTCAAGTTGATGGATTTGATGTACCTCAAACTGAAAGACCAAAAAGAGCTACTGGTGCTGCACTTGATATTGCACAAAACATGTTAAAAGCTGTTAATATGTCTGGTCATATTATTGCTTTTGTTGCTGGACCTTGCACAGAAGGACCAGGAAAAATTATTGGAACATCACTTAATGAAACATTAAGATGTCATCAAGATATTGTTAATGAGAATACTCCTTATATGGTTGCTGCCAAACAATTCTATGATGGTGTTGCTGATAAACTTATTCAAAATGAATCAGCATGTACTATCCTTGCATGTTCTATGGACCAAACAGGATTAATGGAAATGAGAAAGTTGTATGAAGGAACGGGAGGAATTGCTTATTATTTTGAAGATTATACTCATGAAGCTTTAAGAGAAACTTTATTACGTTTATTTGATGGTCAAGTGTGGAAAAGTAACGTTGCTATTGAAGTTCAAACTTGTAAAGAAATGAAGGTTTGTGGTGCATTAGGTCCATTGACTTCAGGAAATAAGAAGACTAGTTCAGTATCACCAACTTCAGTAGCCGTTGGAGGAACTTCATTATGGAAAGCATCTGCTGCATTAAAGAATACATCCTATGCCTTTATATTTGATGTAACTAATCCACAAACTAATCCAAAAAGAACGAATGAGGTAGGATTTATTCAGTTTATTACAACTTATTATGATGAATTAGGTAGAAAATGTACACGGGCTACTACTAGTTCTAGAATGTGGACAAATCCATCTCAAGAAGGATTTGAAAAATTAGCTGCAGGATTTGATCAAGAAGCTGCTACTACTTTAATGGCTCGTTATGCTGCTTATAAAGCAGAAACTGAAGATTCAAGAGAAGCTATAAGATGGCTTGATAGAAGTTTAATTAAAATGTGTCAACGATTTGGTGATTTCAGAAAAGACGATCCAAATTCATTTAAACTATCACCAAATTTCTCTATTTATCCACAATTCATGTTCCATCTTAGAAGAAGTCATTTCTTAAAAGTTTTCAATTGTACTCCTGATGAAACGTCAGTATTTAGAGCAACCTTAAATAGAGAAACAGTTAATAATACATTAACTATGATTCAACCAACATTAGATAGTTATAAATATGGTCAACAACCAGTGCCTGTATTGCTATCTCTTCAGTCAGTCAAATCTGATGAGATTCTTTTATTAGACACATATTTCTATCTTGTTGTCTTTAGAGGTAATGCTGTTGCAGAATGGATGAAACAAAAATTAGAAGAAAAACCAGAATATGCTGGATTAAAAGATTATTATGCTTTACCAGAAGAAGATGCAAAAGAATTATCTAAAACAAGAATTCCTGCTCCAAGAATTTATGTTTGTAACCAATATTCTGGAAATCAAAGATTCTTAATGACTATTCTTGATCCTGCTGTAGCTCCAGGACAAAATAAAAATGACCTTGTCTTTACTGAAGATGTTAGTCTTGATACTTTCTTAACTCATCTTAGACAACTTGCAGTAAAAGATACTTTGAATTAACTCGATTCAAACTCTTTATTTTTGGTTTTATCATCTAATTTTGAGACTTTTTATCATTTTATTTTAACATAATATTATAAATAATTAATGTAACATAAACATTAGGTAATTGTAATACTATAATATTAATTTTAATCAATTCTTATTTGTTAAATTTGCTTTTATCATTTTATAAGAATGTTATTTGGTTTTCTACAGTGTTAAATGTAATAAATAAAAACATTAACACTTAGTTGTACTTAGACTTATTTTGTTATATAACTTCCTCTTTTTAAGAAAAAGAAATATATAAACATATTGTAAATTATCTTTTCGAATTATTATTAATGTTTTTCATTTGTTATAAATACAAAAAATTGATACAAAGAAAAAACATTTCTTATTATTAAAGAAAAATATATTATATATTATTATATTTTATATAATTTAAATTAAAATATACGACTGTGTATCGAGAGGCTTTCTGAAAAACACTCCCCGCTTAAAGTCATATTTCTATGCAACTCTAGATATTGAATGCCTTAAAACATTCAACTTTGGTTGTTGCTATAATATAATGAAAAATATAAGTTTCTTTTTCTTTAAATATCTTTTTTAACCCTATTAAACTATTTTTTAATAATAAATTAAATTATAAATATAAATTAAATTAATAAATGAATTATATTATAATACTTTTTATTAATATCCATATAGCTCATTCAATCTACTTTTTCCATCTCCTTTTTGATCTACTTTTGGTTTTACATCAGAAACTGCATCTTCTTCAATTTTTCGTTTTGTTTCAAGGATAGGTTCATTTGGTTTTCTCTTAATTCCAATACACCCACGAACTAATTCTTTTATTTTAAGCTGTTTATTAATATTGGAATTAATTTCATCCCATGTTTTGTTTGTTGGTTTAATTTTGTTAATAGCTTCAATCAATCTATGTTCTATTTCTTTTAGTTCATTAACACTTTTCTCATGTTTTAATTGGTGTTCATTCATTTTCATAAATTGGTCTAATTCATCTATCTCTTCTTCCATTTCTTTTTGTTCTTCTTCTATCACATAAATTTCAAATTTAACGTCAACTAATCGTTTTATTAAATCTTCAAAAGAACTTAATTCTTCTCCTTTATCCTCTTTTTTTGTTTGGTCATACCATTCATCATCATCACTTTCAATATAATTACCTTCTTCTCTTAATATCCTTTCTTCTTCTTCAAAAACATTTTCTCTCGGTTGTTCGTTTTCTTCAGTTTCGTCAGAATCAAATACATTTGGTTGAACTTCATTTTTGTTTTTGATAAAAATTTTTGTTATTTTTTGTTTTGACATCTTCAAATATTTCTCAGTGAATTTTATAGTTCATTTTTAATTTTCTTAATAAAAATAATAATAAAATTATGCAAGGTATTTTCTGTTTCTTCAAGAAGCAGGTCTTTTCAATAAATTTTTTCAGCATAGATTCTATCTTTAAAATAATACGAATGATAATAGATCTTGAAATAATCATTTATGTCCACCAAAAATAAAAATACTAAAATCAGTAAAATTCTCGATCAAATTGACATTAACCAACTTAAAGTATTAATTGATGAAGTTGGTGTTGTTGTGCTTCAAATTAAAAATTATGGAACTCTCAACATTGGAAATCCAGAGTTTGATGAAAGTTCTCAAGAAGATTCTGAATCTAGTTATACCACTTCTGAAAGTGGTTCTTCTTATTCAAGCGAGTCTGATGAGTCTTCTTATTCAAGTGAATCTGATGATGAAGAAATTCCAATTCAACAAGAACAAGAGAAAATTAGTCCATTAAATCCTGTTAATAATGATAACATAATTCAGTCACAAAACAAAGACTCTGATACAAACAATATTCCTAAAGAAGAAGAAGTAAATAAAAATGAAAAGGAAGAAGTAAAGAAACTTGAAGAAGAACAATTAAAAAAAGCACAAGAGGTAATTCAGAAAAAAGTTACTGCTAGCAACACACCTAAGAAAGTACTTCGTGTTGAAGAGGTTGATGAGGATGATGATTTTTCAAACAATGAAAGTGAGACTTTAAAGGCTGCTGAATATGTTGCACAAACAAAGCAATTACAAAATGGAACTAATAACCCAGTTATTGATAAAGAATTAGCAATGGGATATTTGTATGTTAATAACAATAGAGTTAAAGAAGCGGTTGACTATTTTACTGTATTCTTAAACAAATATCCTAATGTTGTTGGTGCCTTTTTAGGAAGAGGTACTGCATTTGCAATGTTAAGTAATTTTGAAAAAGCAATACAAGACTTTACATCTGCAATTAAATATGACCCAAAATGTGGAGATGCATATAAAAGAAGAGGACAAACCCTTGTTGCTTGTGGAAAGTTATATGAAGGACTTGAAGACTTTAATAAGGCTATTGAACTATCTAATGGTAAAGATGGTGATTGTTATGCACAGAGAGGAAGCGTTTATCAAATGCTTAAAAATTATGAAAAGGGAAGAGCTGATTTTAGAGAAGCTGTTAGAAAGAACTCAATGGACTTTAATTCTTGGAATCATCTTGGGTTAAATAACAATGCCCTTGGATTAGTTGCTGAGGCAGCTGATGCATATGCACGGGCATTACAAATTAAAGATGACTTTATTGAATGTTATGTAAATTTAGCTCAATTACATAAAGATGCAGGCAATTTCCAACGATCGAAAGATGTTTTCAATAAGTTGTTCAGGATGCAACCAAATCATTCTAATG